TGCCCGGATAATTCTACAGCTGTCAGTTCGCGCTACTGCAGTAATCCTTACAAGCCACGACACGACTATTATTACTGTCGGAGCTGCTAGGCCTGCACACAATCAGGACTAGTGACACTGACAAAATCCCCAGGACTATGCGACCAGCACACAACAACAACAGCCTTGGAGGGGGACCTTGGTATAAAGTGGACCACAAATAACTCAGAGTGGATCATAATAAAGATAAACAACAACATGAAACATTTGGGCGTGTTTCGACCTAGTTCCGTTGGATTAAATACATGGGCGGTTTTAATTTTGAAGAAAACTAGTTGCCGGGGTAACGTCATTTTAAGTCCATGGTGTAACAGTATAGTTTGGAAGAAAGCGAGTATTGTGGGTCGAATCCGTGTGACCACCAACACCAATATGTCATCAAGTAGTCATTTATGACCAAATTCAACATTTCCACGCATTCACACAATATTCAGTAGACGAACACTTATCCTCTGAAAACATGATTTGGATGAAGAAATTAGCCCATTTAATCTGAAAGGGAGCCCGGTGAGATTCAGAGCCTGGGGCCAAGGGGGAAATCTAGACTGGCTTCATCTTGGGATTTTGCATTACAGAAAAGACTGGGCAGAAGGTAGTCTGTCTCGCTTCATCTTGGATTTTGCATTACAGAAAAGACTGGGCGGAAGGTAGTCTGTCTCTAAGTCCCTGAACCACATTAGTTTTCCTAATGCCTAGCCCTCCCTGCAATGTTAAAACCTTAAATGCAGCAAGTCTAGATTTACTCAGAATCTCCCAACTCACTGGGGCTCCTTTTCAGTTTAAATGGGTTTATTTGTTACTATCAAAATTATATATATTCAGGGTCTAAGCGTAGTCTACAGTACGACCTGGCGCGCACTGAATGATGGAAAACATCGAATATCATTGTGTTTGGTGAGAAGCGCAATCGCAATACCAATCAGTTTGAGAGCTTGTCACAAACTGCACATAACGTAGTCCAATCTGCCCGGATAATTCTACAGCTGTCAGTTCGCGCTACTGCAGTAATCCTTACAAGCCACGACACGACTATTATTACTGTCGGAGCTGCTAGGCCTGCACACAATCAGGACTAGTGACACTGACAAAATCCCCAGGACTATGCGACCAGCACACAACAACAACAGCCTTGGAGGGGGACCTTGGTATAAAGTGGACCACAAATAACTCAGAGTGGATCATAATAAAGATAAACAACAACATGAAACATTTGGGCGTGTTTCGACCTAGTTCCGTTGGATTAAATACATGGGCGGTTTAAATTTTGAAGAAAAATAGTTGCCGGGGTAACGTCATTTTAAGTCCATGGTGTAACAGTATAGTTTGGAAGAAAGCGAGTATTGTGGGTCGAATCCGTGTGACCACCAATATGTCATCAAGTAGTCATTTATGACCAAATTCAACATGTCCACGCATTCACAATATTCAGTAGACGAACACTTATCCTCTGAAAACATGATTTGGATGAAGAAATTAGCCCATTTAATCTGAAAGGGAGCCCGGTGAGATTCAGAGCCTGGGGCCAAGGGGGAAATCTAGACTGGCTTCATCTTGGGATTTTGCATTACAGAAAAGACTGGGCAGAAGGTAGTCTGTCTCGCTTCATCTTGGATTTTGCATTACAGAAAAGACTGGGCGGAAGGTAGTCTGTCTCTAAGTCCCTGAACCACATTAGTTTTCCTAATGCCTAGCCCGCCCTGCAATGTTAAAGCTTTAAATGAAACAAGTCTAGCTTTCCCCAACTCACTTGGACTCCTTTTCAATTTAAATGAGTCTAATTCTTACTATCAAAATTAAATATATTTTCAGGGATTAAACGTCAGTCTAGGAGGAAGGCGTTTGGGGGCTTGGAAATGAAAGTACATATTTTAGTAGAAAGGTTCAACCAGTGCTTGGAAGTCAGAAAGCCTCTTTTAATATGTCATGGCGACCAGAGAAAACGACAGATGGTAACGTCGTCATCGCCATCAGCGCTTGAGCGTGATCGACGACCTGACAGATGACCTCAACGTCTGGACATGCAGCCACTTCAGTGACGGCGGCGGACAAAGGGGATGCCGTAACCGACGGAAGTCAGAAGGGCTAATAAAACTACACCGTCGAGTGTGGAGATCAAATCACTGGCTACATCAATAGGATGGCCACAGCAAGTACAATCAGCATTATGGCTTAATCAGGGTAATTAATCACATCCGACAGGCTTGACGGCCAGACATGAAGTTGATCTGTGAGATGAGTTGTGGTCATTTTGAAAGGGGTGCCCTCCGGGGGAGGGTCAACATGTGTTTACTTACTGGTATACCCCCCTGGGGTTCCGCATGAGGTTTCGTCACGGCGATGCATTCATCCGAATAATAAGTCAATTATGCGCGTGTTGAAGATGAAAGAACCAATGATGAAAGCGGTAGAGGTGACAGTTAGTGGTCACTGTTGTGGTGAGGGGGTTAATGGGGGATGGGGTGGGATTTTTGTAGAGATGGGGCGGGAAGATTTAAAAGAGAAGCGGGGATAAAAATAAAAGAAACCATATACTTGGATCTATTATGTAGCACGTGGTGTGTTTAAATTTATCGAACTGAGACGGGATATTAGCATTGATGTAGAAGTACCTGAGATGGGCGTTGGCGGTGGTGGGTTGGGGTAGGTGTGGTCACTGAAGAGGAGGGGGTAAAATTAGGTGGCCATTGCTGTCGTGAAGGAGACACGAGGGGGGGATTCTGCCTGTAATCTTCAATTGATTCACGTCGTTGGGTTCAGTCGGGAGTTGTTAACTACGGTTACCAATTGATTACGGTGCCGCTTTATAGCCCCGAAATGGACGTGTGATGGTTTTACAGTCATCCCTAGCGACAACTGTAGCAGCCGAACCAACAGAGTTGGTGATCTACCGATACAGTCCATGTAATCTTTCCAATAATCGATTACTTCCTGTCTTATTCGTTACGTGGATCGAACACAAGCGTCTCGTTAAACAATCACAAGAAAGTTTACAATAGTCTAGGAGCAGTCTACGGCTGGGTGTTGTGGCACTCTGTTTGCCATTATGAGAACAATTAGCACGCATCACCTGGAAATCTCTTGTGCATTCAAACGATCTAAGCAACTTCCCGGTTTTAATTTACTGTCCATTATTGAAAGTTCAGTAAATTGATAACACTTGAGAAGTATAAACACCGACCACTTGGGTTGTTGTCCGACGTGTCCGGGGCGATATTTGATCTGGGGAAATCTGTTTACTAACTTGTGTCCAGTCAGCTGGGCCATAAACAAACACCATATCAGTGACCAAAGGTCAAGATCGGACCTGACATGGTCAAACAGCAATCCGTGGTCACAGTCCCGGGGCAGACCCTTACAACAACCACCCCTTTCATTTCAACAGGAAGTATATATAAGGGAGTTTCATCGATACACATATCCTTATACACATGTTCTAAGGTTCTGATATATAAACTAATTATTTGTGATTGTAATAACTTACACGGCAGTTACTTACATGTAAAAAGATATACATAGAGTATATAAGAAAGGCAAGATATATGGACATCAACTTCTTTATCCTGATGTGTTATTCCCAATAAAGAAGTTGACATCCATATATCTTACCTTTCTTATGCATTCCACTTCTAAATGCCATTCAAAAAGTTGGTAGTGCATATATACGTTTCAAACTATTTCGAAGTCGCATCGCTATGATCGGCTTAAATGTCATTGGGTCAGAATGTTTAAATGTCGGTACTTCGTCTTAAACAAAGATACAACTATTTCAGAAATTTCAGTTCGATAAAACTTTTACCACAAACTGCAAGCGTTGAATATTTATTTACGTTTCAGCTTACTTACATTTCAGGATATGGATTTTCTGTATATATATTTCATGCTCACTGATATCACACACGTCACAGATATCTTTGACGCACCAGATATCTCGCTTTTGATATACTGAAGTAACATATAATTAGACCTCACGTTTAGAAAATGGCAAATTGTTGAAATAAGTTAACAAATATATTGTTTGTACGCATATATCACATTACCTAACATTAGATGATAAAACGATATTGCATAGTAGAATTCTTGACAAGGATGTACTTACGTGCCTGATGCAACCACAACGAAATTTCATTCATGTGAAGACGTAATATTATCAAGAATCCACATTCACCGATGTCTACCGGACACAATACAATCTAGACCATCAACACGTGCGTGCGTCCGCCTTGGCCAACGGGCCTATATAAGATTTCTGCTGTGGGCGTCTGTAGCCGCCCTTGTGTACATGTGTTGGCGACTGCAGTCAACTACAGACACATGCGCCTGCCATATATACAAACATACAGGTCGTCTTTCTGCAGGTGCCAGCTGATTTGACATGTATATTGATGAGGGTAATTACAGGGAGATACTGTCAGAGTGTTTGTATAGCGCGATGTTACACTTGCTGTACCGATAGCATCAAATGAGTGTATTGTACCACAACACACTGCAGGTTAACAGGAAACATGCCCGCCTGGCGGGATAAACCATATGTATACAATATACACCAGCGGGGGATGGGAAAACGACGTATGAGGATATATTTAGATTTCCCATTTACATTATATGACCAAAATATTACTTTAAACCATAGTTTACTACACTGTAATATATAACCATGTTATTGGTTTAAACATACGTATTCACAAGAAAGGCTAAGTTCTTCGCCAGGAACCGATCGAGTAAATGTTACATTCGGGATTATATTTTCTTAATAAAATACAACACCTAGAAGTTATAGGGTGGAATTCCACCCGTCATTTTCCTCTGAGGTTTTGGTAAAATATTCTATATTTGTTTCCGAGGATTTGTTTTTGTACCGTTTTAGTTATTCGACTTTTATCACACTGTTCACGTAAAACAGACCAGATACTATAGGAATATATCGACGATATGCTTATCAGCGAGGTAATTGATGTACAAACCTGTGATAACTGTTACTGCTGGAGTCAGTACACTGTTACGTCCATCCTAGCTTGATTCAGGTAATCCTTGGTAGGGCGCCTCTTCACATACACACAGCATAACTGTCATCACAGGACGTCCTCCGTCCTGACTTTAGGGTAGCACAGTCAAGCAAGTAATTGCGTCCCGAGAGAACCCACCGACACTTTCTGACATTTGACGGCTCCTGACTCCCGTGAGGGGGTCCTCGGTATAATGCGCTGGGCGGAACTGAGGGCAGGGCGACGAGCTGGGCTGTTGAAGTAGCTGTGCGGTATAGCGAGTCGACCGGTCCGAGCTTTCTCGCAAGTGAACGCTCCGCGGCTGGCTAGTCAAGTGATGACGACAAACGCTTCATCTCAAGTCGTGGTTTATTTCCAGGAAACTGAAAAAGTAAATCTCATGTCAGAGCAGATCGCCACACAAATGTTTGTGATAACTTTATTGTGACTCAGATTACCAGGACATTCCCATTACTTGCGCTGGGATGGGCGAGTCTATTCTTCAAGGGGGCATGGGTTATCGCTCAATCTGAAAAGACCCTTACACTTTGAAAGCGTTTTTCAGAATGATGCACTTACTGGGTTTTCGCTCTTCTGGATGAAAACTTTCATAAGAGGATATCAACACGAAATGATAATAAAGTAACTACACATATTAATAAGCTACAACCCACCCTCAGTATCATAATGGTACGGTCGTGTTTACAATGGCCAACGTGTTCCCTGATGTCTTTGTGCGACGGTCCTGGCGTCGCAGCCTGTGGGTGTTTATGTATTTGATTCCCCTGCATCGTTGCACCACTTTGTACCGCATTACCCCCCTCGGCACACAGGGCAGCATTAACGCTAATCCCCCTCCACACTGACACTCCGTCAAACACAAACACTACCAAACGCAACATATTGCTTTTCTAAAAGAACATAACCCTCAAATCTAATATTGATTTTAACGACAACAATCCAATAATTAGTTTCTCGAGTTTCATTTATTTTTAACACGACAGTGATGTATTTTTCCAGTTATCAATTTACAATCTTTAAAACCACTTATGTGGAAGAAACGAAGGTCAATGTAGCTATTTCAGTTAGCGTGGTCCTGTTATTCGGCCCTCGGTCACGATAACTCGGGACACGAACAATATCACAACATCTTATTGAAGTAATACTGTTGATGTAAGATTTAGCGACCTCACGTAAATCTTCCCGGGCTACTAAGCTACTGTCAACAGTGTTACTGACGAACAAGGATATGTTTGCATACTCATCTCCATAGCTTTAATTGTTTGTCTAGATCAACTAATTATGACCAATTGTTAGTTGACATGTTCACCAGGAGCACTTTGTCATTGGGTGAAATGTTTTCTTTTAACGGCAATCAAAAGATGTTTCAAGTGACCCAATAATATTGATAATTTCATGAGTGCAATCACATGACAAAATACACAGGGCATGAAATCGTATTTTAATGTTGAATTGAATTAATATTCTACGAAACAATTTTCTATTTTTTAAACAATAAAGCAAGGTTAATGTATTAATAAAAAAGATAGGACCGAAAATTTAATGAAAGAAATATGAGACGTTAGCGTGTGGTATTTATTTCTTGTTACCTGTCGTGCTGACGTTCACAAGGCTATCAAATTTGTCATATCAGTTTAAGATTTGTTAATAAAACTCCTATTACAACAAACAGAAGCCATTCCGGCAGCCATGAAGCAACGATGGCGGGTTATGACTCACGGGTTTCAAACGCGCGCATTTAACACCTTAGCAATTACACAAATGTCCCCGATACCTTAATGCATTAGAGATTATTTTCAGCGTTAGCTGATGGATGAATTAAGTCTCTAATCATCGCAACAAAACACCGGCTTTAGGCCTTGATTATACTGACCAGTCGAATTACATATTGTTACAACGTGGTATGTTTGCGCAACATGAGCTCGCTATCACCCGGTTAATTACCAAAGATAAGATGAAGATTTCGTTCTCAGGAAGGTGGCGAAAGGCTAAACAGATACTGATACAACTTCCATGCTGACCCACCAGCGTAATATAAATCAATCAAGTTTATCTGATATCTCGACTTCAAAATTAGGATGCTCCTCTGCCACTGAATCGGCGGCGAAAAATATCACCTCCAGCAAGAAAGCGATGCGTTGATTTTTTCACATTCCAATTGTATGGTGACTGTTTCCCGATATATATGTTCAAGTATTGCCAAGCTGATGTTCCTTAATCATGTTCTTTTGTTGTTGGTGTTCCTGTGCTGATTGGAACGTATTTCTTTGGTTTTAATCACCAGTTGCTATGGAAATTTCTGTCGGGTTTACCATTTTTCGAAGAGTTATTACACATTGCATGACGTGGAAATGGAAAGCTAATATTGAGAGAGGTAGAAGGTACGAGAAAGTCCACGGAAGTCGGATTCATCCTCGCTAATATTGTTGGTTTTAGTAATTGTGTGTGAACATTACGTCATGCGGCGCGTAACACGTGCGTTCTCACCATTTGTGGGACCCTAACAACGCGGGTCTGTGTGGGGGGCGGGCGGGGTCACAGCACCGGCTTCCTATATCCTGATACATGCGGAATACTATGAGAATATTCTGTCGAGAACACGACCTGACTGTCAGGCTAAGGAATGTACCGTTAGACGACCTACTTGACGGCATACAGTACGTTGTACATGAGATTTAACTAGTCTCTTAAATGAACATATTTTTTACAGAAAAACAGTTGATAATAATGCATGTAAATAAAATATAATGAAAAGGGCCCTGAGACTTTTTAGCTTTGTATGATTTGAAGAGATAAAACGTCACCATCAGAAATGGAATTTTACATAATATTAATTATATATCGCATAATAACATCGACAACTGACAGTGTTGGACCTCCTTCCAGTCTGATCATAGAACTATTAACCCCAGGCGAAAATGATTAAGATAAAAAGAGCTTTTCTTGTCAGTTATCATGTTTATCTCATCTCGTGAGCTGGTAAATCCGGCATCATGAAAATATCAACTTGAGAAGTCACCAAATGTGGCTATCATGACATTTGTCAAATTCCTCTTGTATGATGCGGGGCGGTGGTGTAGCCTAGTGGTTAAAGCGTTCGCTCGTCACGCCGAAGACCTGGGTTCGAATCCCACATGGGTACTATGTGTGAATCCCATTTCTGGTGTCCCCCGCCGTGATATTGCTGGAATATTGCTAAAAAGCGGCGTAAAACCAAACTCAGTCAGTCAGTCTTGTATGATGCAGACTATACTAAGATATTTTAATGGGTCATTGTATGCTAGTGATACAGGTCACGCTAAACAACGGGTGAAAACCCCGAATGGCGCAGTTCCACCATGGTGAAAAGTATGTACATATATGAATGATGCTGGTAAAGTACGTAAACCACTATGGTTTGTATGTCGCTTTTAGCAGATTTCAGTAATATCAGGATGGGGGACACAAGGAATGGACGTCACATATTGTACCATTGCTGACGAACTAGAGGCAGAAATCACAGTGAAATAAACATTCAAACCAATATCAGCGGATCCTGTAATGATAGGAGACACAACTTTGCAAGGCAAATAGCGACACATTAGAGTGAGTGAGTGAGTGAGTTTAGTTTTACACCGCACTCAGCAATATCCCAGCTATATGGCGGCGGTCTGTAAATAATCGAGTCTGGACCAGACAATCCAGTGATCAACAGCATGAGCATCGATTTGCGCAATTGGGAACCGATGACATGTGTCAACCAAGTCAGCGAAACTGACCACCCGATCCCGTTAGTCGCCTCTTACGACAAGCATAGTCGCCTGTTATGGCAAGCACATGGGTTGCTGAAGACCTATTCTACCCTGGATCTTTACGGGTCACACATTAGAGAACTTGGCCAGTATTTATAACTTCAGCAGCATTAGATGTGTATCAGACGTAGTATTCAGAGCGATGGATGAGCTTAGATACTTCTCAATATCAGAAATAACCGAGTCTGGACGAAGCACTCTATCATTTCAAATAGAAAATTAGAATTAAAAATAATTAATCAATACATTTTTATAAACCACTGATAGGCTTTTCAATTTTGGCAATCTGTATAGACCCGAAATGTTCCAATTCATGAAATAAAATAATCGTCTTAATCACCATAAAAATGAAATATGTCGTTAAAATACTCTAAATAATCTAAAGTAGCAATACGATAAAATCGGTCGCAAGAAAATTGTCAGACATCTAAACTTGTGAAGCAATCTTTACTAAATGCTCAATGAAAATACTGTTTACGGCAGTGAGATGGGCTTTTTGGAATCATTGGTGTGAAAATCAATAGCAATACTTCGGTATCGATCTGAGACTATTGACATGAAATAGCCACTTTTCACTTTCCTTGTTTATTGATGGCTATGTAAGGAAGCGGGTCGCGGGAAAGGTATTGCCATTGTATGATATTACTGGAGAAAATAACGGTAAAATAAATCATACGCCATACACAATTATCTCAAACAAGGCAATCAAGGAAAATAAATAGAAGACATTACACAATATTGTTTTTATTCCCTGTAAAGGGATGGAGCCAGCCACCGTAAGGAGCTGTAGGGGCGTGGTTGGTGCCCTTGCTTGTCACGGAGAGTGTTTGTGTAATATTCCGATTACCGAACGGTTCGGGAAACCAAACCATTAATATCGATTTATCCAACAATTGTTATATTATGATGTTAAAATAGACATAATGGTAAAAGAAAGGGCGAAACCGATATCAAACAATGATTGTTTAAGGTGTCATGTTTGTAATAATCATTGTCTAGAACCCTATTCTGCATTTATCAGGTAACTTTGTTAGTTGAATGCTGCACTCGGCCATGTTCCCACTTTATAACGGCGGTCTGTATATAGCTGAGTCTGGACCTGACAATCCAGTGATTGACGCCACGAACATAGATCTATTGGGATGCGGTGACAAAACAAAAACCAATTAATTCAGCGAGCCTGACCACCCGATCCCGTTAGTCGCTTCTTACTTGGCAAGGGTTGCTGAAGATCAATGCTAACACGGATCTTCACAGTTCCCATGTCACTAACACAGTGACTGAAGGATATAGATCTATATTTAGAAGTTGGGTTCAGTTCTTATTATTCAACAAATGCATTCCTTACAGGTTAAAAACGGAATATATTGATTTTTCACATATGAAAAAAATCGAATAGCTCTAACTTTAATTCTATGTTCGCAAACACTTTGGATTGAAACTTATATTGGGAAAAAGACGCATTTATCAGTCATGGAATTTAAATATCTTGGATCATTATACAAATTTTTATGGACTATACTACTCTGAAATCATGTCTCAACTGCTGGACAAAAAAGTATACACCAAGTTGTGATTGGTGGCTAAAATACAACAAATTAGAAATGGTTATTCG